AACTAGATTAAGAGGCTGCCAAATGATAAACTCTCATGAAGATTTCTTTCACCTCAGAATACTTAAAGGGAGTCACAGTGGGGGTTGGGGGGGGGGACTTGAGCCAGAGCAACTTAACAGAAAAGACCTTTTTCCCAGCAAGTAAGAGGGCAGATCCATGGGGTATATGTGGGGTGTGTCATCTGGTTTACATGGCATCCCTTCTTTCCCAAATAAAAGCCACAGTATTTATATAGCAACCTTTGTTATATGTCCAAGAACAAAACAAACATCTCACTAAAGCAACAAGTAGAACTAAAAAATAAAAACTTAAAACCAAACTCCAAAAGACCCTGTTTAATATTTTTAATGCAGTATCAAGAGAACATTAAATCTAACTGATGTTGATATTGATCAAATTATTGTTAACATTTTTAAAGGTACTTAGTTCCCCCAAAGACATAATTTACACAATTTAATGCTATTTTTAGTGACTGGTATATGAATGGCATATACCTCAGAAATCCTACATTAGGGAGGTAAAGACCACAAATGTAAGGAGAAATTCATTAAGAGCAAACAATAAACACATAATCTCTTAGCTATGAAATCCCCAACACAAGCTTAGTCTAGTGGTAGTCACATTTCTACCCACACCATTTGGCTCCTATCCTCAGGGTCTGGGATCTTAGCAGGCTTCCAAAAATGGCCTGTCCTTAGAAGTATAAATTATTTTATATTCATCCACTTTAAGCTATATTCAAGCAAAAATAGGCGGGGGCTCATAACTGTTATAGTAAAAAGAGTCCCTGGGCCTGTAGAGCTTGCTCAGTGGATAAAGCTCTTGCTGTGCAAATGTGAAGACTGGAGTTTAAATCCCCAGAGCCCATGTAAAGCTGGGTGCTGTAGCAGGTGTCTGTAATCCCATCATACCTAAGGCAAAGTGGAAGGCAGAGAGAGGAATCCACAGAAGCTCATGGGCTAGCTAGCCTGGTTTATGTAGTGATGAATGACGACACGCTATCTCAAGCATAGGGGAAGACATGGAACAACACTAAAGATTGTCCTCTGATCTCCATGTGTGTGCCCCATGTCTGCACTTACACACAGTTGTAGGTGTTTTGTGTGGAGACACCAAGGCTTTTCTTCTAGGAAGTAGTTTATGCCAGCGCTTAGCTCATCAGATTCATATCCAAAACACAGAGCTCCGATTATAGTTAAGGTCTTGCCATTTATATCATTATTGTCCATTTGTCTCCCTTACATGGGAACATCATCTGATTGGATGCCGTATACTACAGGTTTGTGGCAGGCAGAGCTGTATACATGTACTCAGGCACAAACCATCCTGCATTGCCTTCTCTGTTCTGGGAAGGTCCCTGCCACAACACACACACACACACACACACACACACACACACACACACACACACACACACACCATTCATGCATACTACATGCACACATCACACATGGCATGTTCTCAAAAAAGCACTACTTGGCAATGGCATGCTCTGTTGTTTGCCATAATGAATTCATCTTTGGGAATTTTTCTATTACAAAACCTATAGCTACTTTTATAATTGCAAAAGTCTTGGATAAATGTGTTTAGGTAGTTGATAATTTATTTTATTTACACTAGACCATTATTTGGAAAATTTTACAATAAAACAAAAATGTGTTATGTTCAAACAAAATTATCTTATGTCCTTGTGAAAGACTAAGAAAAGGCAAAATAAGGCAAATTCATGACTGAAGAGTCTGACTGTTTTGTTCTATCATCCTAAAGCCTTTATGATGACCAATCTTTGCTGTACCATTTAGTATATTTCCTTATTCTTAATATTCTGGATTTGATTTTGAACATATAACTGATAAAAAGTTGTTGGAGCTTAAGTTGATAGGCACAGCATGTTTGGCAGAGAAGCATTCAGATTTTATTGAATAATTAGTAAACTTTTAAGTACTACAAGCAAAACACTGATATTAGAAAGTGTCCATTAAGGACTCTGAATAGGTAATCTCTTCACAGTTGAATGTCTTGCCAGAATAACATTTCCTTATAATATTTAGAAAAAAAGATTTTTGAACACTAAGTGATTACAGAGTCTCTCCTATCAGAATTTATATTATAGGTAAGAAAAAAGCAAATGGAACAATGAGTAGGTATGTCACAGGCATGGATGAGTCTGGAGGGCAGACACTGTTTCTAGGTTTTGCCTCTTTACAATGAATTGATCAGAGACACATAGATAGTTATAGGAAAGGAGACGGTTTATTAAAGGGGAGATACTGAGGAGGCTGGAGCTGTGGCATCTTCTGCTGTGGCCTGGTTTCACAAGGAGGGAAGGGCTGTCATTAACACAGCAGTCACCTCTCATATATATATGATAATTTCCCAGGCTTCTCAGAGCCTGCTCCTTTGGCTGAATGAAGCTGTGGTGGACTGTGGGCTGCCAGTCTTTCCCTTGCTGTTACCTTTTGCATGTTCATCTTTGGAATTTCTTCCTTTACTGTTTTCCTGCCTCAGGAAATATCTATGCAACGAAGTACATATTTGAAGGCAGATGTTTAATTAAGGAACAAAGGATTTCCAAGATTTCAACAGGCAGAGCAGAAATAAGTGTTTCTGGCAAAGGAAGTCAACATCAGCAAGGAACAGTAAAGAGACTTGTGGTAGATAATGGTAGTAGTGGGAAAAGCCAAGCTATAGGGGCTCAAGGAAAGGAAGATCACACAGGTTTAGAAAACAGGGTGGAAGAATTTTGATTCCCAGTTGGAAGCAGCACAGAGCCTCTGAGGTGTTACAGAGCAAAGGAACACTGTAGCGATAGATGGTTAAATCTTGTCCTGCTACAGAGCATACAACTGACTGGAAGGTACAGTCAGGAAGACATCTAAAAACACTCCTTACCATGCAGAATGGAGAAGCGCACATCCAGAGATCTCAGGGCCTATTCTCAAGGTAGCCATCATGTCCAAGTAAACTCCAGAACTAGACTTTAAGTTAATAAATTCTTCCAAGTGAACAATTATCATTTTAGTTCCAACTTCAAATATCCCAACCCTGCATGGCAAGCACAAAGTTCTCTAATATCCAAGCAATTCAGATGCTCCCAAATTTTACAAACCATACATATTAAGGCTGGGCTTGGTGGTATATGCCTTTGATCTCAGCACTTGGGAGGCAGAGGTAGGCAGATCTCTGGGAGATTGAAGCCAGCCTGGTTTACACAGCAAGTTCCAGCCAGCTGGGGCTACATGGAGACCCTGTCTCAAAAAACAAAACAAAACAAAACAACCCCAAAATAAATAAATAAAATAAAAATACCCATCCAAACTAAAACCCAAAACAACAGTAACAACAAAAAATATAGACTGAATCATTATTCTATACCAAGATTTGCATAGGTGAAAAAACAGTTGAGTGCACAGTATGCTCAAATATTAAAAAGAACCCAACATACCAAAGTAGGCTACAAGAATATTCCTGACATTAAGTGATGAGAACAAGTTTTGAATCTATTTTTACTCAGCTAATGAATGATGTCTAACTTCTTTAAATGGTATATTAAGGCATTATGACTTCTTTATTTCATCCCTTTCTGAACAAATTAGTAAGCAACATTTCCCCACAAACACAAAAACAGACCCATCTTAGCTCCATAATCAGGACACGCAACCCTCTATGTTGAGGACAGCAGTGGTCTGAACTTGAACAGGACTATGGTATAGAATACACCTAACATCACACAGAAGTGGTTATAAACAAAATTATGTCCACACAGGAGTTAAACTGCACATCTGCTGACAATGTTAGGCTATTTATTGGAAATCATAGTCTTTTTAGACCCTCTAATTATTTTGCCATACAAGAGTAAAACCCAAATAATACAGATATTTAGCATTTTGGTAGAAAAAAAAAATCAATAGTTGGAAAAAAGATACAAACCAACCAAGAGGTAAAAAGTTTTTAGCAACAATGCTGTGTACAGCATCCTTTGCTCATGTGACCACCCAGGGCAATGGGTCATTTTTCCCTTCTTATTTTATATTTCATCTTCATTGGAGCACCAAAAGTTTTCTCCTTTCCTTTTAAAAAGGTTCAAACAGTTCTATTACAAATACTTTTCAGGTCTTTAAGTCTGTGAAGCTGTCATCTAGCAACTTCCTTCTAAAAATAGGAAGTACCTTCATATTTCCTTTAAATCAAACCTATTCCAGTCTATTCTAAGCAAAAATAAAAAAGAGAAACACAGTTCAAGAGAGCTCTATCAAACAAATAAATAAGTGTTTCACAGAAGCATTGATGTAAACAAGATCACTTCAATAGAGAGAAAGGTACAGGTATTTTCCAGCCAATGACAAATTGTAACAGTTCCAAGTATAGACACACAGGGGTACATAACCCCAAAGCAAACAGTTATTAAAGAATAAACAGATAAAACATAACTATAAAACTGCTTTGTCAAGCTACCCTTTTGTTCTTCATAGTTTTTTTAAGTTGATCAGAAAATTTGAGCTGCATGATGTAAAACCAAGTCTACCCTAAAAGTAACTATCTTAGATCAGCTGAAAGTAAGAAATTACCTAAGCAATGTAAACAAGCCTTGAATTTCAAAACAGAAACATTAACAAAAGATTTTTGTAAACAGATTTTAAAAAAAATCTATCTGCTAAAAATCACAAGTGTCATCATTCAGTTGTGTATTCTGAGAAATCTTTTTTAGTTTGGTTTCGTGTATTTCCAACATGCTCTTACAAGATCGCTGAGTTTCTCCAAATAGGTGCCTCTCAAAGGTTGTATAATCAATTCAATTGCTTTTGCTGAAGTCATTTGGCCTTCATAAAATCTCCCTAGCAATAAACATCGCTTAGTCCTTTCTATAGGGTTTACTGTTAGCATCATAGCCACATTTTTATCTTGCTTTGTAAAATAAATGCCATTTACGTCATTAGATTTGCCAGATCTCCGACTACAAAGAACATGCCGCTTTATAAATGCTTTCAAGCTCATTGTGTCCATTTCTCTACCACTTTTATTCTGCTTCCAAGTCTGAAATATTTAAAAGATAAACCAATAGCCAAGGAATGAATTGTTTTAGATATTAGAGCAGATTCAAAGCTCAGAAACTGTATACAGGGAACGAAATGCCACGGTCTGTGAGATCCTGCTGGTAAGCTGTGAGCTGATTTTAGCTGTGAGTTCAACAATTCTGACATCAACATAATATTTTACAAGCTAAGGGAAAGAAGTTTTTGATTTCCTTTTTCTTTTTGATGTTCTGAGTTACATCTCTGGCTCTCCTTCCTTTCGAAGTCTCTTCCATTATTATGTTTCATTATGTAACAGTATTCAAACAATTACCTTAAACACAGATCAGTATTTAATATTCTACAACCAACTGAATAATTCATTAAATTAAAATCAGCTTAGAATTGACAATGATTTCTCTCCAGAGAAGGACCCATGGGCAACACGGAGTTATAATTTTAGGAGAGAAGACCCACATAAAGTACCAGGTAGAGTCAAGGTAACGACTTTCCTCAAATTTCACATTAAACTTTGAGAACAATATACAAACATATTTTAAATAATGCTAACATTATCTAGATAAATAGCTAGAGTGTCACCATTAAGTGATTTAACTGTTTATAGTGAAATTGTAGACATTTTCCTATATTCCTCGTCAGAGTAAGATTTGTGTATTTTCTCCTATGCCGCCTGCTTCCACCACCTCCAAGTGCTCTTTAATAAAAATAAACTGGAATACCTGTTCTAAAAATATATTAATTTCTTAGAAATGCTAAATTAAACATTTGCTTGTTATTTTCCACAGCCATCATTTTGACACCAGCTTCTCAACAGTTTTCCACACCTCAAACATATAGGTGACATTAAATGAGAACTTGAATTTTGCTTTAGTTTTGCTCTTAATGTAAATCTTTTTAAAATATGAATTCCCGGTAATGAATATAAGCTATGAATTAGATGTCACATTGAATAGTTTCTGTAATCACGGAAATATATCGATGCCCTGGGTTTTATCTCTTTGTCTCTCAATTCAGCTTACTTAGGTTATAGGCAAACATTTAGAGATTTTCCATCCAAGTTTGGCTCAGTGACAGTGAACACACTGTAGTATTCAAGTACTATTAGGCAAATGCAGCCCTGCAAGGATACGTATCCCTATAGGTCAGTCTGCAAAGGAGAACTATCTTAACTAACCTGCAGTATATCTGACCAAAGAAACCTTTGGAAGTATTTTTCACTTTAGCATCTGTAGCCTCCTTCCAGAGGTCCTGAAGGTCTTGTACATGTCCATGGGAGGTCATCATCTTTTCATAGATGCAAGGGTGATAAGGAGCCTTTCCTTCACCAGAGAAAAACACATGCTCCTGTGGCACTATCCCCATTTTATTGGCACAGAGGCCCATGAACACATCATCTATGTAAAGACTAGAATTCAGTGTCTGTGATGCCTCATAGACTTTGGAAGCCACATCGCCGGAGATGACGTAGGCAGCACCAGCAGTGTAGTCAGGGTAAGCTGGCCACTGGTACACGTTAGGGGAGACATAGTACTTGCTGCTTTTATCCCTAATAGGAGGGGCACCACGATGAACACGACCAATCCAAAAGTCTCGAACGCCAATCTGTTCCAAATCTTGAAGGTAGTCAATAAGATTTGGCATGTGAATAAATATATCATCATCAGCAGTCATCAGGAATTTGGCATGTGGACAGAAGGTATTTGCCCAGCTGAACTGAAGAAGTAATTTTAAAGTAAGATTGTAGAAAGAATCAACGAAGTCTTGCTGGATTATATCATTGTATACCCGATCTTCCCTAATCAGTTTGTTTTGCAGTTCTCCCTTCAGTGGACCCGGAGTTCCTAAGGCAAAAAGGGTTTTGATGTTGGCGTTAAGTTGAGACTGAACATACTTCTCGTTACCCCAAGTCTTTCTGATTATAGAACGCCGGTCATAGTTTTCAGGAGCAGTCTTCACAAACAATAAAAGGAGGACATCTTGAGCTTGACACTTCTCTTTGTGATTAATCAAGTACGGGTAGTGGGACTGCTCTGAACTGTGCTTAAGAGAAAGGGAATCATTCACAAAGTCATAGCTGTTTATGAGGTATCTGTAAGAGTAGGACTTCATGTGGTTCACAATAGAATTTTCGAGTGGTCCCCAAAAAACCATGAAGCTTAATATAAAACAAGTGGCAAATAACTGAAAAAACTGCCATCTTTTGACTCTCCTGCCACTAACAAACATTCTCATGTCCACTTAGGTCTGTTATAAATGGGAGCTTGCTTCTTCAAAACTATAGAACTTTGTATTCTGTAGAAGAGATGTCTGTATTAATACATGTTGGTCATACAAAATGAGAAAAGATCTTATTTCACACAATATTCTTCTCTAACACCATCTTCCCTGGGATTGCAAAAGAACAGAACACACTATAGGAGGGCACTGGCACATCGAAGTTCTTCCAGCCTGGCATTCTTCATCAAATTCTGTGCACAGCTTCATACAGCTACACCACGTGGCTCTTTCCGTGAACATGAACTGTGATCTACCGAAAGAGGAACACGTGAATGGATTACTGGGTTTTACACACACACACACACACACACACACACACAAGATCACTCCTAATTCCTCAAACCAAACATTGTCTGATTGATCCCCGAAAAGAGTATTTAAGGCATTAGTATTTAGTAAGAGGAATATGTCTGTGAAACTTTTTAAAAGAGAAATACAGGACAGGGAAAAATCATTTGGACCTAGATTTAACATGTTCTAAACTGGGAAGTAACAGGATGTGCCACCAAGCCCTATGTGTGGGTTTGGGAATGTGAACAACAGCCAGGGGCCAGCCAGTTTACTGTTTAGCTGTACTGTTTCATGCATCTAACCCTGAACTCTAACAAACCAGGATCGTACCACTAAACTCAGTCTTTATCAAAGCAATCATAAATATGTGAATAAAAAGAGGAAGACAAAATTTACCCAATATATAGGGTCCTCTAGCTATTTTGAACACATTCTCTGTCTTCCATCCTGACACCTATTGTCTCCACCTTCAGTTTATTTGTGTCTAAATATTCTCCATTTATTTACACCAGAAGTCTGTAAATCCACTTGTTCCTCAACTTCCACCTTCAGTTACTTAATCCCAGGAGACACTTCTCATTCTCTTTTCACCCTAGAATCATCATCACTTACCCAGACTAAGGCACAGACCCAATAATGTCCTTACCAGACACTTTAGTCAGAGTGAGCTTTTCAAAACAGACATAATCATGAGACCAAATGAACTCTTCAAACCTCTTTAGATCTGTCTGCCAGTTAGTGACAAGATGAAGCCTAGATTATAAGTTAGCATGGCATCCTGGACCCTTTTGGCTCAACCTCTCTTGCTATCCCATCACACTATTGGACAATATCAAAATTCCTAGCTGCAAAGACAGAAGCCTAGTTTCATGCACCCTGCTTTTTGTCCGGAGCAGTGCAGTGGACTGGCTGCCCCAATTCTCTGACAGCATGAAGTGTGCTTATTCTAAGTCTTACAGGCATCCTTCAGCAGGAAGCTTGAACTGTAGTTTCCCTAGTCTGCCAAATATTTCTTATTTGTACTGATATAGCTCCTTCTTGTACTCTGTATTGCAGCTTTTTTTAAAGCACAATGTATAGAGGTTCTACTCTGTACATGAATTAGACACTGACTAAATAAATCCTGGTACCAAGAACCATGCCAACAGTGGGCTACCGTTCACTCAAAGTGTTAGTTTCCTGGGGAAGGACTGGCTGTCAGGACCAGCAGGTGCCACAGTAGATGAGTTCCACGTCATGGCTGTCTATCTCATATAATAACCCTTTTTGCCACGAATAGGAGACAGCACCTCTGCTCCTCAAGGTCCCTGTTCCTAATGCTCACCACGAAAGAAAGGTGGGTGGTCCCTTTCCCATTCAGGAGTGGCACATCTGTCTCCTGGGATTTAACTAGGATTGGGAGGGAGAGATGATTGCAAGACAGCATTATAAGCCCCAGGACACAGGTCCTGTTTTGTGGCCAGAGACTTGTCATCGTGTGCTTCTACCCTTGATTTCTTAATCGAAGTTCAAATGCACACTGAGGCCCTGCAGAAGGAGTCTGACTTCAGCTGTGATACTGCCTTCATGACCTCAGAGCTTTTCGACTCTGCTGTGCTTCCCATCCCCATGATTACTCCTAGTTAGAGGCTATTGGAAGAGCTGGTCATGAGCAATGTGCGAAAAGCAAGCCCCACTGAGATCTTGTTCACAGTTATAGTTGGCACTTTGTGTCTTAGGGTATAGATTTTAAAACTACAAGCACTGCTTAGTAAACCACAATCAGCAAAAGGGAAAAAAGGCACACTATACAGAAAGTAGTATGTGTGAGTCTTATGTTGTATGCATTCAAGGATGTAATGTTAATGCATTAGATAGAAGGCTTGATTTTAAAAAGACTGAAAGCCCTGTTCTAAAGGAAAAATCAGTATGGCAATGTCTCCCTCTCCGCTTTTGATAGGCTTGCATTGGATGCTCTAGATGAGGGTGAGAAACAAAACAAAACAGGAAATATTAGTTTCTGATGTTGGTTTCTGCCTAAACTGCAGAAACCACTTTTATTCAGGGGCCGCTTCCTTTGTTTCTACAGTGATCAGGTAAAAATTGTCTGTGAAAGCTAAAAGCAAGGGCATTTTGCACCCTCTACAATGTAACTTAAAGAACCTGGAGACTTAAAAGAGATTTTTTTTTCTGTCTTTTTTGAGATAGGGTCTCCCTGCAGCCCCAGCTAGACTAGAACTCACTATGTAGACCAGGCTGGCCTCAAACTAACAGAGGTCCACCTGCCTCTGCCTCCTGAGTGCTAGGATTAAAGGTGTGTGCCACCATGCTTGGGTTAAAAGATAGATTTCTTGATGACAGAATGTGGCAACATTTAAAAATTCTAAGAAAATTTTCAGTTGAAATAAATCTGCAGTTTCTACTCCAAAAGGCCCTAGGAAGAGAACAGAGAGGTTGGTAAATGTGATAGTTAATATAGATTGTCAACTTGACAGGATGCAGAATCACCTAGGAGACAAACCTGTCTGTGAGAGAATTTTATATTGGGTGAACCGAGGAGGGAAGAGCCACGCTGAATATGGGCAGCACCATTGCATGCTCTAGAATTCCTCCATTGCATAAAAGAGAGTAAGAGGCTGGTTTAGAGCACTGGATGCTCTTGCAGAGGACCTGGGTTCAGTTCCTGGCACCCTCATAGCAGCTAACACCTGCCTTTACTTCCAGTTCCAAGAAATCCAATGCCCTCTTCTGGCCTTCTCAGTCAGCAGGCATGTTCACAGTGTACTTACATAGATGCAGGCAAAACATTCATACACATTGAATAAAATCTTTTTTAAAAACGCCAAGCAGAGGACCAGCGTTCATTTTTCTGCTGTCTGAGCTGATGCACTGTGGGCAGCTGTCTCACGGTCTGGTATCCATGACTTCCCTGACATGATGGGACAACACCCTCAAAATTGATTAAGTTGATTTTGTCAGCAATAAGAAAATTAACTAATATAGTAACCTTTGAAGTCTAAGAATGTAACCATAGCCAGTTTCCCACCTCTGAGTAGTATGCTTAGCAAGCTCTAGTGCACCTTTGTACATTCCTACTGTTTATAAACCTGAGACTGATATATCAGCCCATGAGCCTACTCCTCCAGCATCCAAATGTGTGCCTGGCTCACCAAAGGTCCCTACAATGAATCTGGGCTATGACTCACCAGGGCATTATGTTGTTGCTGCTGCTGCTAAGACTGACCCATAATAACCATTTTACTCCCCCTAAGTCTATGAATTTACCTTATTTTCCTACATTTTTCAGCTATTCCAAGTGGACTTCAATAAATCAAAATGTTTCCTAAAAAGTGATAAAGAACCTGTCATAAAGCCAGCAACCTACACTACTTATTTCAGGATATTACTTAAGGTCCCAACATGAGATTTCTCCCACTTATCAATTGTTGAATCACTATGTACACACACAAAAATCAAATCCCACTGATAGCAAATGATGCTGGTCCCAGCTCTTCCCTGATGCTGGACAGCATGTGCATACAACTGGTGCTCCAGCTTCTCTGTGGTATCTCACAGCACCTTAAAGCTGCTTTCAAGAGCATCCTTCAGCTTACTCTGCAGTGTTGGCAGGGTTGCTGGGTCATCCGGTGGAATAAAATGTGGGGCCTTATAGGAAGCAAGAAACAAATATAAAGCTCAGCAACCGTTCACAACAGAGCGCTCCTAGGGTGTACCTTCCTTTGTGTGCCTGAGCATGCCTCAGTGGCCAAGGAAACAAACCAGGAAGAAGGGTCACCTCTGCTTGGGGCCAGACATACTATGCAATCTCTGGAAATCCTCACTCCACTGACTTTGGTGACTTAATATGCATATTAGAGGTGAATATCGATGTAATATTACTGATGGGAAATAAAAATTAGAGGTGATCTTGGAGTTTACTGAAGACATGAAACAGAGCACTGGAAGGAACAGTTAGAGGGAGACAGGCAAGCGTTTGGCTACAACTGAGTTTGTTTCTATTTGAAAGAAAGGAACTATTGTCCTTAGCATTATGTTCTCTAATAAAAGTAATCAGAAAAATGACGAAGAAAAATAGCACATCACGCGCTGGAGAGATACTTAGTGGTTGAGAATGCTTGCTGCTCTTGAGGAGGACCTGAGTTCAGTTCCCAGAACCCAAATGGGGAAGTTCACAACTTCCTGTTACTCTAGCTCCAAGATCTGATGTCTTCTAGCCTGAGAGCGTGCATGCACATGCACACACACACACACACACACACACATCTATTAAAACTTAAAACATAATTTTTAAAGGAGTACATCGGAAAAGGTGGCAGACACCACCGCAAATACTTTCTATTCTGGGGCTGTGCCCCTCAGTTACTCAAAAAATATTTATTTAGACAGAAGAGCTGTTTAAATTCTCCCAAAACCTACAGTTAGTGGGTCTAAAAGGTACAATTTTCTCTATAATAACTCCCAATTTTTAATACTTCACCCTAGCTGTCAACTCCTTCATTTGTTGAGTTTACTTTTATAATTCTCAAAAATGCAAAACCTGATGGAAACACTGAAGCTTTAATCAAGCTGGTGAGGGCTGCAGTTCAAGTTAAATAACTCCTGCCTATATTGTTCCAGCTAACCCTACAAGGATGTGAGTATGAGCTGTGTGAGGCAGGCACGGTGGAAAGCACGGCATAGTATTTTTCAGTCTTCAATCTCAAAGCATTTATAGTCTGCTTGAGGTAAGATTCTCTGTTTCCACAGAAAAATACAGTTCCAGCGTACACAGGATAAGGTACTTTCATAATTCCTTCGGACGGCACCAGTGGCAGGCACCACAGAAGAGTCCCTAAGGTAGTGAGGTAGATGAGTGACTGGGATGAAGAGGAAAGGGGAGGAGTGAAGTGCAATTTGGGGTATTACTGACAGGAAGGAAAATGGGCTTACTGAAGTGGGAGGGAGGGGGTTATATTTGTT